TCACAACATATTTCAACAGCTGGTACAGAAGCTTCTGGTACAAGTAATATGAAATTTGTGTTGAATGGTGGTTTGATTCTTGGAACAGTAGATGGTGCCAATATTGAAATTCATCAAGAAATTTCAGGTGAAAATATTTTCAGTTTTGGACATTTGGCTGATGCTGTTAGTGACTTAAGGCATGCTCATAGGTGTGTATCCACGTTTAGAAAAAGAGAAAGAGGGAATATATATATATGTATAAAATAAATAAATAATGTATTAATTATTTACTTATGATTTTCCTGTCATCCCACCTCTCTCAATCTCTTTCCTGTTTCCCTAAAAGATATCGAAACATTGAGATGGATCCAAAATTAAAAAGTGTTATAACAAATATTGAATCCGGACAATTTGGTGATCCAAGAATATTTGTTCCGCTGATCAGTACATTAACAATTGGCAAAGATTATTACTTAATTTCTGATGATTTTGAATCATATCTTCGAGCACAACAAATGGTTGATGAAACTTATAAAGATCAAGAGGAATGGACGAAGAAAAGTATTCTTTGTACTGCTCGTATGGGCAAATTTTCTTCGTAAGCATTATTTTTTTTATATATATAAGAATGAATGATTTAAAATTTCAGTATTTATGGTTATGATTTCTGGTAATAATAATAATTTTTTGTTGTTTCATTGATTTTTAGTGATCGTTCTATTCAAGAATATGCAGATAGTATTTGGCATGTTATACCAGTGAAAGTTTAAAAAAATATTTATTTATTTATTTATTTATTTATTTATTATTTATTATTTATTACATATAAAAAATTGATCAAAATAAAAATCTCAAATTTTTTTTAAATCACATAATATGCATATAATTAACAAGTAAAATAAATATAAAAAATGTTGTGTAAAAATTCAATTTAAAAGAATCTCTCTCTTCATGTATCCCGACTCTATTTCCGTCATCTCCAATGATTTTATTAGTGATTTTAGCTACACCAATTTGACTATATCAAGCCCAAAGTATGTGATGTTTCCAAAACTTATTAAAGAAGTTTTAAAGATTGATTTGACTTACGATTTCACCTAATAAAGATGAAACACCATTTATCAATTTTTGTTTCTGTTGTTATTCAAATTTATCAATCTTAAATTAATATATTAAGTTAGAGTCAAACCTCGCTATAAAAAAGTATAACCTAATTAAATACGTGTTATAACAAACTTTTAACTGTATATAAAAACATATAACACCGTTATAACGCGACTAGCAAATAATACAACAAGATCCGTTATAACGGGTTCGATTGTGTTTGAAAAGAATGCAATTTACGATTATAATAGCAATAGTAGCAACTCGTGGACGATGTTGCTTCTGTTGCTTTCTTGTCAAGTAAATAAAAAAACAAAATTTATAAATAGACTAGAATGCTCAATAATCATCACCACCATTATTTTAAATAATTATTAGAAAAGATCGTAAATTTCTCTCTTCTAACAATACTTACTCAAGCGCTTCGACTCTATCAGTTTTTTTTTCTTTTGATTTTCTGTGTTTTAAATAAAATATCGTGTATGATGTAATGAAAAATAAAATAATGTGTGCGCATGATTGATTATATGTAGATTTGTTGTTGTAAAAAAGAGGGAAAAGTTAACTTAAGAAATATATTAACATGTTAGAAAAGTGATTTTTATTATAAGGAAGAACTTTTATTGCTATTGTTGTAATTTTGTTGGTGATTTTAATCGTTGTCGGTTGTAATTGTTATAAAATATATATTTTTAAACAGTCGTAGGAGTTTGTCGTTACAAATATTTAACAGTCGAACCTTCGTTTCAACAAAGTGGCTAGACATTTAAGAAAATTTCATTCAAAATTCGTTGAAACGAGGTTTGGCTGTATTAAAAAAAGATATATAATTGACCAAAGTTGTAAAACCATTGCGTCAAATCCGCTACCATTAAGTCAAAAATGACGTAAAAAACTTATAAATGTATATTCCAAGATCTTTTTTCTCGAATATCCCAATCTCTCTCTTTTATTTCATCAGTTTGTTCCTAAGGAGCCAAGTTTTCTTTTGCCGAATACAAATTCAGTCCCCACACACTAATTTACTACTAAACTCGAACATTTCTTTCTTATATTAATAACGTGATACATGATTAGGGTAGATAAAATCATCGGTTAGGGATTCGGTTCTTTATGCTCAAGTATAATAATTATCAAATTACTGTGTAAATGAAAGTTTTTATAATATCAATATTGATTGATTAAGTTACTTTGCAATAATAACTCCATCCTTATCCTTATTGTAGTGATCAATAAAAATTTCAAAATAACTTTGGTCCTCGCAGAGGAAAATAATAGATAATTAATATTCTAATAAAATAAAACTCTGATAGAATCATTAAATAATATTAATCGTTAATAAGCTTTTAAAAATAAAAATAAATTTTTTATTTTTATTTTCTTTGTTTAAAGTGCTTTGATAAAAGCAACAAGTGTAGTTAGTGCCTTGATAAAAGGTTACCAAACAATAGTGGAACTTTGGTAAAAAGCCACGTTTATTTGCTTTAGTGAGCAAATAAGCGAGTTTATGACTGATGTTGGTTAAACTAGTGAGTATAACAACTATTAGTAATGTAATTTGCTTTAGTGAGTAAGCAAAGGTTTGGACCAACGCTAACTAATTAACTAGTGGGTGTTAATGAAGTGTCACCCAAAGGTTAATTGGAAGTGCTGGTAGTATTATTGTAGTCGTAGACGTAAGGCTGTTAAACAAGCTACTTAAGTTGTTTCGCAAGTAAACTAAAGCGAGTTTGCAATCAGCCAATAAATGTAAACGACTGAAATAAATCGATCACAAGTGAATAAAGGGGACTTTATAGAACTTGAACTTTGTAAAAGGCATTTTTGTTTATTTGACGCCATTAAATGTGCTCATAGATTTGTCCAAGTGCAAAAAAAGAGGGACCAAAGTAAACTCCTAAACTAATTAATTGACAAGAACTGAATTATTTGTAATTAACTGACAAGAATATCCCGAAAGTTTGACCATAATTAACCGGAATAATACCTCACAATGTCATTGTAAAAATTTTATTATTCAAAATATTGTTACAAGATAAATAAAAAGATAATAATAAATTTATGGTTGGAATTAAATTAGTCATTCGTCAATTCTTTGTTATTAGAATTCATTTTTTATTAATTGATTAATTAATATTGTTGGTAATGGATAGTGATTTCCAATTAATTATTAGTAATGAAAATTCACATTTTTTAACATTTTAGAGAAAAAAGTTAAAATCAAGAGTATTTAACGAGCTATTATTACTTATACAACTTTTTAAGCTTTTAAATTTAGCAATCTTTTCGTCTAATATTCTACTTGCATGATATGCATCAGGATGTGATTTGTGTGCTTGTTGCAAAGCACCACCACTACTGGTATTATTTTTATTTCTAGAAAACTTCCAAATTTCTCCACTAGTTGGTCTTTTTGACATATATCAAAAAAATAAATGATGATTGTGAGCTCTATCATCAAATGGCGGATGACCTGCAAATATTTCCCACATTAACATCCCAACACTATA